CCTCAGGATACAAGTTCCATATTCAACAGTTGGCCAAATATGATGTCCTGTTCTCCTCCTTAGTTTTGCTCACAATAATTAGAACTCAAAGGAAACCTTTCCTGAGTGAAACATGGAGGCTGCCATTGCCGACATCTCATCCTGCAAATGCTGATTGCCTGTCTGTTGTGCTGACCATTTTCCTTCAGTGGATTGTAGCCATGCGACTAGCATTTTTTAGAAGGTCACCAATGTTAAATCCGAATATTTCCCTTGAAGCCTGTCTCCACGCCCCCCCCCCCCCTCCTTCACTCTTTATTATCACTCCCCCAACCCTATAACTGTTCCCTGGGTAAAAAAAGTTACCAGTTTCTACTGTTACCTGCTTCAAGATAAAAAAAAAGTAACCTGAAAGTCTCATTCACTTACCTACAGTATATCAGTGTTCTACCTTCCTTATTTCAGAATTGGAGGGTCATTCTTCAGGGGTCCACTTTACTGCAGCACTAGATTCCAGTCTCCACTCCCAAAAGAGACCCCGACGAGGAATATGTAACTGGAGTTAGGTAAGCACAAAATGAAAAGGTTTTAGGGGCTATAATTTCATGTGAATGGTTGGAATGGGTAAGGAGAGGGCAGGGGGGCACAGACTTTGCTTGGAGATGGGCTTTAAGGAAGAATTATTAGGAAGTCAAATGGCTCCAACCCTACTGCCCTTCATACCTTTAAGCATACATCTCTGTTCCCCAATCAGTAAATGCTAAATTATCAGCAAATAAAAAATAGGTATGAACTGAAACTGTATAAGTTAAAAATAAGGGCTGTGTGGGATGTTATGGACAAGTAGTTCGCTTTTCTTTGCTGTTTTCATAAGTCGGATCCAGAATTTTGCAGTAAATTATTTAGACACAGATAACAAGGGCATTGCTGTCACTTTCTCAGAGAACTGAGGTTTACAAGAGTTGTTAAGCTTCTGTGTTTTTCTGCGTTAAATCCACATACAAGTGCTGAATTCTTACATGGACTGACAAGTGAAAGCAGCTCCTCATAAAGGAAAAGAGAAGGACCGCATGATGAGCGACAGTTTTTAAGCTATTGCTACAGCTAAAATATTATATAGATGGCACATGTAATCTCATCTTTGCATGAGTATTGTGAATAAAATGCATCTAAATCTCTTATAGAAGAGAATGAACAGGTTTAAAGAGAACCTGTCACAACTAGGCTTAGGAAATAAGTTAAAGTGGTTATAAAGGCTGAAGGATTTTTTACTTTCCAGCATTGTATGCATGAAGGTACTGCAGAAAAAATTAACAGACCCTTATACTTACTGTACCTAAGCCCGATCTCGATCCAACGATGTGCACACGAGCAGAGGCTCTCCCAGCTCTCTCCCTCTTCACTGGCTCAGACACTGCAGCGGGAGCCATTGGCTCCTACTGCTGTCAATCACAGCCAGTGAGGAGAGAGCAGGGGGTGGGGCTGAGCCACATTCTGTATGTTTATGGATATACAGAGTAGGACTCGGGAGCGAGCATGCAAGAGTGCCCTCATAGCAAGAAAGGAGGGGGCAGAAGCCAAGAGCGCCAGCAGGGGACGCAAGAAGAGGAGAAGCAAGGCTGGTCTGTGCAAAAACATTGTACAGAGCTGGAAAGTATAACATGTTTGTTTGTTTTAATTTTTGTCTTTAAAATCACTTTAAATACAAAAATGTTTTACAAAAATTGTGATAAAACCCTTTTTGGTCTTGGAATGTTTATATACACATGACTGTGATACAATACCTGCCCATTGTATTACTTAGCATTGATTACCCATTTACTTTTGCAAATTCTGGAACCCAAAATGAAACACTGACCCTGATTTACTAAAGGAGTAGGGAATGTTCCCGTTCAAGATGAATATTCACTTATTTTAATTCATGCGATGAATCAAAGAGAAAATTCACCTATCTTAATGTATGGGGTGAAATTGTGCTGACTTCAAGCATCCAATCATGCGCAAGCAAAAATCCTGGTTTATTTTTGCTTTCCTTGCACAGGATTTAGTATTCTTTGAGAAATTTATTTTCACTTTGTGTCACCTTGCTCAACAAGAGAAGTAAAATATTTTTGGAAAGCCAAGAAGCTCTTCTCTTTTATAAATGTAGAGATGTGCTGGTTGCTTTAAATATTAAACAGCAGTTGCAAAGCATTTTTTTTTTCTTTTCCCTCTTTGTGAGTGACAGGGGAAGCAGTACTGTGCTCTGATTGGTTGTTGCTACAGCTGAGAAGGATCCACCCATAGCAGCACTGTTGCAGCTGTACTTATGATTGGCTGTGGAGGAAAGGAGAGAGGAAAAAGGAAGAAGAAGCACATGGGAGGAGGCAGACATTTTCAGGGGACCACATGGAGCAGGGGCTCCTGATGTAAAGTCACAGAGGCTCACTCTCTGTGCTGCTGGAACCCATAAACTGGGGTGGGAGTGTGTAGCAGAGGAATTGTTGCAGGAGGACAGTGTGAAAATCAAGGATTGTCCTGCCTGACACTCATGATTACAGCCACTCAAGTGCATGTGTCTCTCAAAGTTTGGAGCTGCTGAAAGAGAGAGGATTTCTACTACTGTCTAATGCTATTTAGAGGACAATCCAGAAACAGTGAGTACTCTGGGATGAAAGGGGGATTTTGATATTGCTGCATTTGTTGTTCATCTCTGGAGAATGGTCATGAGAAAGTCTGCTCTCTATTTCTCAGAGTAACACAGATCTTGGAAAGCCCAAGCTGCTCAGAATTAGCTATTCCTGCTGCTGATTGATGAGAGAACTGTCTCTGTATATTACTGGTGATTGTCTCCTCAAGACTTGTGCTGTGGCTAAAGAATGTGTTTTAGTTCCAAATCCCCACAGAAGCTTGCTGCTTTGAATATACTGAGCAAGTGTCAGTATATCAGGATTTCACCTGTATGGTCAAGATTTGTTGAAGTGTTGTTTTCTTTTATTGCAATGTTCACTGGAAGATTCTGCTTAAAGGAGACTGCTATTCTGCTACCCCTGGATTACAAATACTCTCCCATGCAGAAAGTGAGCGCTCTTCCATTGATTAAAGGGCCCCGACGTTGAGAGACTTTAAGTTTCATCCCACTGGCCAGTGGTTCGATAGGATATTTCTGCTCTAGATAGTACTGCTATAGCAAATTTCAATAAGCTGCTAAGCCTCATTAACAGTTATTGTTGTTCATGTGTCAATGTCACTCTTATATCCACCCTAGTCAGTGTGATACTAGTCAGTTTTTGGAGTCTTTGGTGAGTGAATTGTGACTTCTTACTAACTATGTTATACAAAGTGGTATCTGTGTTTTATGTACATTACCTGTGTTAAATCTGCTAGTTCTTTTTCAGGGTTTGTCTTCTTCAATAAAAACCATAAAAAAATATTCTCAGAGTGTCGAAGTGTTCTGGGTATAATCGGAGGTGTCACCAGATTCAGGTGGGAGCTGAACCTATATATCTAGGCAAGCATTACCCAAGGGTGTGCTACATAAATCAATCCCAACACATTCAAGATGAAGCCACCCTAATGCACTCTAAAACGGCATAAGCTATGCCTCTTTTAATATAAGAAAGTCTCTTGAAGCTTCCATTTGTGGCTTCTCTTACTGGCATTTTGTTTTGTGATAGATTCCCTTTAATAACATTTTAGTTTTATTTCCTTTAGTGTGTCGGAGGTTAAAGAAAGGAAAAATGAATTCAAATGTAGGCCAAACAGCGTCTGTTTCAAGTTGCTTCCTCAAGGTCGTCTTCCATTATTGGCGTATTAAGAAAACGTCTTCTACGGACGTGTCAATAAACAGAGCAGAGCATGCTATCAAGGGATTTCCCTTGGGTTAAACTCTAATGCAGGAGTCGGGATTAATGTAACAAGGAAAGCTGCAGGGAGGCAGAACTATGTAAAAGTTTGGTTATAGCTGGATTGTACATGTAATTACCTCTCTCAGAATACTGACACACAGCCATTTATTCTGATCCGTCCATGCTGACTTTGATAGGTAGGAAAATAGGATCACAGCAGTGAGTTAAGTAAGGCGAATTCAGAATAGATGTGTCAGCATTACCAAGGATAGCAGGTAAATTTCCACTAACAGGAGAGTGAGAACATTAAAAAGTTACCAGTTATCTGCAGCCAAGAAATACAGAATGATTTTCTTTTTAAAATGGACATTGTACAACAGGGGTGGACTGACCATTTGGAAACTCGGGCACTGCCCAAGGTCCCGGGGTCAGTAGGGGGCCCCATGAGATACCCCTGGTACCTTTTTCATAGGCTTTTTTGAGTTTGGGCAAGGACACAGGGGCCCCATGATCCCCTATTGCCTGGGGGCCCCATGAGTTGTCAGTCCGCCCCTGTTGTACAAAAGGAACACTGTTATCCAAATAAGGAGGGGGGGTGGAAAATTAAAGCCCACCTCCAGGCAAATTTTGTTTCTCCCCCCCACTGCCTCTTTCTCACCCACCTAAAACCTAAACATAAAAACCTTTTAAAGTCCCTCTTACTCATCTAAGTCAGCCCTAATGTGAATTTCTGTGGTGACTCCTTGAGAAGGGGAGACTAGTGTTCTATTGGTGAAGTCAAGACCCAATGCCAAATGGTCGTTTTTGCAGACCCTCAATGTGACATCATCACGATAACCCTGGAGTCTTCAAGAACTGTGTGGACCCCACTGATGGAAAACTAATGTAAAGTGTGCACATCACCAAGCAGTGATGTGGGTACCTGAAAAAGGACTTTCACACTCTGTAGTCAAGATGAAAGAAGACTAAGAAACTAAAGGACCCAGAGTGTCGCATGACAAGGGAATCACCTGAGTATTTGGTCTATTTATTGATCTATTTTTAATTACAGGATAATTAGCTGGAGGTGGGTGGGGATAAAGTGTAGGGTGTGTGAGTGCATATGTAATTCCCTGGAGAGATTAAATATATATACTCAATGGCCACCTTATTAGGTACACTTTGCTAGTGCCGGCAGGGGCGGACTCACAACTCATGGGGCCCCCAGGCAATAGGGGATCATGGGGCCCCTGTGTTCTTGCCCAAACTCAAAAAAGCCTACGAAAAATGTACCATCGGAATCTCATGGGGCCCCCTACTGACCCCGGGCCCTCGGGCACTGCCCGAGTTTCCAAATGGTCAGTCCGCCCCTGAGTGCTGGGCTGAACCCTCTTTTCCCTTCTGCCTTAATTCTTCATGACATAGATTCAACAAAATGTTGGAAACATTCAAAGATTTTTGTTCAATATTGACATGAGTTACTGTTGCCTTTCTATCATCTCGAACCAGTCTGCCCATTCTCCTCTGACCAGATCAACAGCGTCAGACCAGCCCTTCTGGCACCAACAACCATTCCACTTTCGAAGTGTACAAAATGGCGCGATTCAGCCCGGTGCACTGCAATAAAGTGCAGCATGTCTGCATTTCACCACAGCATGTTGCAGTGCAGTGCTAGGCTGCATTGCAGTGTGAATAGGACACAAAGGAAACAATTGTTTCCTGTGTGTCCCTGCAGTGACAGATGTTTTACCACCGCATATGGTTTGAACTGGCCCTAACGCAGCCATCACATCTAAGAATTGGTAAGCTGCAATAAATGTTTGCTTTTGGGTTTATTACTGCTTTAACATTTGAAGCTTAAATGTTTTAAAATTGATGCGTTATTAATGTTTTTACTATTTTCATAAAATCTTTCTTTTACAGATAACCATATAATACGGGTTATACTCATAATACTGCTATTAACCCCTTGCCTACACGGCACTTATAACCCCTTCCTGCCCAGGCCAATTTCCAGCTTTCAGCGCTGTCACACTTTGAATGACAATTGCGCGGTCATGCAACACTGTACCCATATGAAATTTTTATCATTTTTTTGAGACAGATAGAGCTTTCTTTTGGTGGTATTTATTCACCTCTGGGATTTTTATTTTTTCTTAAACAAACCAAAAACCACTGAAAATTTTGAAAGAAAAAAGTTTTTTCTTAGTTTTTGTTATCCAATTTTGTAAATAAGTGATTTTTCTCCTTCACTGATGTGCGCTAATGAAGCTGCAGTGATGGGCACTGATAGGCTGCACTGATGGGCACTGGTAGGTTGCACTGATGGGCATTGACAGGCATCACTGATGGGCACTGAAAGGCAGCACGGATACATGACACTGATACATGACACTGATATATGGCACTGATAGGCGGCACTGACTGGCACTGATGCGCACTGATAGGCGACACTGACTGGCACTGATAGGTGGCACTGATAGGTGGCACTGACTGGCACTGATGGGTGACATTGAAAGGCAGCTCAGATGGGCACTGATATGTGGCATTGATGTGCCCTGGTATGCACTGATATGTGGCATTGATGTGGCACTGATGGGCACTGGCACGTGGCACAGATGAGCACTGACAGCTGGCACTTCTGGGGCCACACTGATCATCAGGGCACACTGATCATCAGTGCCCTGATGATCAGTGTACATATCCCCTCCGCGGAAAGCCGATTACTGGCTCTAATCTCCTCTTGAGCTGTCAGCGTGACAGCTCGAGAAGAGAGAAATGCCGATAACCAGCATTTCCGTGTTTACATGTGATCAGCTGTGATTGGACACAGCTGATCACATGACCGAGCCGACACCTTCGGCTCTTTCCATGATCTGCTGTGTCTGAGGGAGCCGTGCATGCGCAGTGAGAATGGTAGGACGTCATATGATCCTATCAGAACGAGAGAACCACCTTGCGCCCGTCATTGTACTATAGGGCAGGCGGAAGGTGGTTAAAGAGTACTGTGGGTTTCCAAGGGTAGTTTATATTAAAAATCCTCCTTATCAAATACTGATGTCATTGGTTTTTTCAGGACACCGGTGGCTAGAAGGTCATTATGGTGCACAATGAAAACCCGTGGCTTTGTGTAACTAAAATGTAGGCTTCTTCCATCCGCTGGCTTGTATACAAGTTATGGGCAATTTTTAAACATTTTGCCAAGGTTCCCCTGAAGAAACTTCAAGGCACCCTGCTTGAGAAAGGCTGAGTTAGAGTATTATGTTGGTATTAAGGCAATGATGTTGCAGAAGTGGAATCCCTTGGAGTTCAAGGTTCTTGATGGGTGAGGGTGGGGCGCTGCTTCTCTGCTGTTTGAAGTAAACTGGTACTTTGGTGGCCCAGCAGAGCAAATAATGGGGTCCACGCTACTGAATCTCCAGCAGATTTTCCATTACTTGTTCATCCACACACACAATATCCATCCACATACGCTGATTCTAACAAGGATATATATATATACAAGCATTGAGGAGAGAATGACTCCATAGCAGCCTAAGAAAACTTATCAACACTTTAAAGGATGTCATGCTTTATCTCTCTGATTAAATACATCGCATTTCACAAGTGCGTACAGCTATGAAGGACATTCCCATTATTGAGAGAGAAGGAAATTATTTGGAAGAACCAAAAGGTATACTAACTTACTTTAAGTGTAATGATGTTAATGACATACACTTTTATTATTGTGTTGCTTTATTATGTTGCAATAAACTGTAGGAGGATGAAGTATATTTTAACACAATCTGTTTCCATGGAAAATGCTGGAAGGAGCCAAGGAAAGATTATGCAAAGTCATTTGCATTTAATCCCAATGACAAGTGTGCATGTGTGATATTTAAATCACTGCTTGTTAGAGGAGTAGAGTACTCTGCTCAATACAATATAAATGAAATGGCAGTCAACAAAGAATTTTATGACACTTGTATTTCCTGTTCTGGTGTCAAAGGGGAAATCTTCCTAATGGGGTGGCAAATTTTAGTAGCCTGGCAGCGGTTCTGACCAGGGCCGTGGATAAGGGGGGGGGTACTGCCAGTCCTCCTGTATGGAGCCCAGGCTAGCAGGGGGGGCGAAGCGGCTGGGGGAATCTGATGTAGGCAGGGAGGGTAATCGGCACAGCAGGGGGACAATTACTGGAACTGATCCCCTGTACAGCTCTCTGCAGCAGATGAAAGCTGGCTTCTTCTCCCCTCCCTCCAGATGGCTTTCAGCTGCTGCAGAGAGAACCATACTGGGGATCAGTTCCAGTAATTGATCCCCCCCATACCCATCATCCTCACTGTGCACCATACATTTCCCCTTGCTACCTAGGCCCCCTTGTGGCCCCCACCCCTGCAGTGCTGCTTGCTTCTCTCCTCTCCTTCCCATTGGTAGGATCCTTCAGGATGGAGAGTGGGGGAAGGGTCCAGTAAATATGTCACATTTACCAGCCCCATTCTTTCATGAATGAACACAGTGAGTGTTCAGTACAGATCACTCACTGTGTTCATTCATAACTGAAGCATACACAACTTTATGGGTTTTTTTTTGGGGGGGGGGCTGTGGGGTTGGCTGTATGGGGCCCTGTGGTTTCTAACAGCAGCCCTGGTTCTGACACTGCCATATTCATTCCAAAAGTAAATAGAAAAGTGTTCTGGGCTTTAAAGTAAACCTCCACTTTTGCACAATGTGAAGGTCAAAATCTTCTCAGGGCAAGCCCCCCCCCCCCCCTTCCCCTGCATGACACTGTTGTTTACAGGGCTCAGCATATCAAGCCGAAATATACAAAAATAAATGAGTGAGTTTGCCAGTATCATATGCTGAAAAACAGCTCCACACCATGATGCTCCCACCTACATGCTTCACTGATGGTATTGTGTTTTGGGGGTGATGTGCAGTGCCATTTGACCTCCAAACGTGGTGTGTGTATTATGGAAAAAGTTACATTTTGGTCTCATCTCATATATTCTCCCAGTATTCCACAGGCTTGTGTAAGTGTTGTGCAGCAAACTTGAAACAAGCTTTAGCATGCTTTTTCTTCAGCAATGAAGTCTTGCCTGGTGAGCAAGGGCGGACTGACCATTTGGAAACTCGGGCACTGCCCGAGGGCCCGGGGTCAGTAGGGGGCCCCATGAGATGCTCCTGGTACCTTTTTTCATAGGCTTTTTTGAGTTTGGGCAAGGACACAGGGGCCCCATGATCCCCTATATCTCGGGGGCCCCATGAGTTGTCAGTCCGCCCCTGATGGTGAGTGTGCATACAGGCTATGGCGGTTGAGTGCATTACTTATTGTTTTCTTTAAAACAGTTGTACCTGCTAATTCCAGGTCTTTCTGAAGCTCTCCACAAGCGGTTCTTTGGCTCTTGGACAACTCTTCAGATTATTCTTTTCACTCCTTCGTCAGAAATCTTGCAAGGAGCACCGGTCATGGCTGGTTTATCCAATTCCGGATTATGGTCCCAACAGTGCTCATTGGAACTTTCAGAAGTTTAGAAATCCTTCTGTAGCTAATGCCATTAATATGTTTTGCAGCAATAAGGTTGCTAAAGTCTTGAGAGAGCTCTTTGCTTTTACCCATCGTGAGATGTTTCTTGTGTGATGCCTTGGTAATGAGACACCTTTTTATAGGCCATCAGTTGAGACTGAACCAGCTGATATTAATTTGCACTGACAAGGGGCAGGATTGCTTTCTAATTACTGATAGATTTCAGCTGGTTTCTTGCCTTTCCATGCTTTTTGCACCTCCTTTTATTCATGCATTCAATATTTACACAATAATATAAACATTCGTGAAAGAATGGGTCGCTCTCAGAAGCTCAGTGAATTCAAGCATGGTACCTTGTTAGGTTGCCACCTGTGCAATAAGTCCATCCATGAAATGCCCTTGTTACTCATTATTCCACGGTCAACTGTTAGTGGTATTATAACAAAGTAGAAGCAACTGGGAACAAAGTGGTAGGCCACATAAAATGACAGAATGGGGTCAGCGCATGCTGAAGTGCACAGTGATCAAAAGTCACCAACTGTCTGCAGAGTCAGTAGCTAAAGATCTCCAAACTTCATGTGGCCTTCAGATTAGCACAACAACAGTATATAGAGAGCTTCATGGAATGGGTTTCCATGACCGAGCAGCTGCATCCAGCCTTGCATTACCAAGTACAATGCAAAGTGTTGTATGCAGTAGTGTAAAGCATGCTGCCACTGGACTCTAGAGCAGTGGAGATGTGTTCTGTGGAGTGACAAATCATGCTTCTCTGTCTGGCAAACTGATGGACGTATCTGGGTTTGTCGGTTGCCAGGAGAATGGTACTTGCCTGACTGCATTGAGTCAAGTATAAAGTTGAGGTGGAGGGGAGATTATGGTGTGGGGTTGTTTTTCAGGGGTTGGGCTTGGCCCCTTAGTTCCAGTGAAGGGAAATCTTAAGGCCAGGGGCAGACTGACCATTTGGGCACTCGGGCACTGCCCGAGGGCCTGGGTCAGTAGGGGGCACCATGAGATGCCCCTGGTACCTTTCATAGGCTTTTTTGGGTGTGGCTTGAGTGTGGGCAAGGACACAGGGGCCCCATAATCCCTTATTGCCCAGGGGCCCCATGAGTTGTCAGTCCTCCCCTGCTTAAGGCATCACCATACCAAGACATTTTGGACAATTATATGCTCCCAACTTTGTGGGAACAGTTTGGGGATGGCTCCTTCCTGTTCCAACATGACTGAGCACCAGTGCACAAAGCAAGGTCCATAAAGACATGGATGAGCGAGTTTGGAGTGGAGGAACTTGACTGACCTGCACAGAGTTCCAACCTCAAACTGACAACACCTTTGGGATGAGCGGAAACTGCGAGCCAGGCCTTCTTGGCCAACATCAGTGCCTGACCTGACAAATGCACTTCTGGAAGAATGGTCAAACATTCCCATAGTCACACTCCTAAACTGTGTGGACAGCCTTCCCAGAAGAGTTGAAGCTGTTATAGCTGCAAAAGGTGGGCCAACTCAATATTGAACCCTACAGACTAAGACTGGGATGGCATTAGAGAGAGAGAGACAGAGAGAAACAGGTAGACAGGTAGACAGACTGACAGACAGACAGACAGACATCATTCCTCTCATGCTTACCTGAAGAAGTAGACTTTGGTTCACTAAACATGTTGAGAAGTATTAATCCATTTGGTAGCCTTCAATAAATAATCAATGAATATCTATGTAGTAATTTTGGATCAATGTTAGTATACAATATGAGAGGCAATACTGAAAGATGTATAACATAATTAGATCCTAAGCCATCTACCGTATATACTCGAGTATAAGCCGAGTTTTTCAGCACATTTTTTGTGCTGAAAAACGGCCCCCTCGGCTTATACTCGAGTCAACGTCTGCAGGGGGCTGCTGTCTCTTATCTGGCTCCGGTCCCACGACGATCCGGTCCAGGAAGCGCGGCTGCTCCTTCATTCGGTTCGTCCACTGGATGTTCGCGCGGCTGCTCGGCTCCGCCTTCTCACCGGTGATTGGCCGCCAGAACTGTAGCTCAGGAAAGGCACACAGGCGGCCAATCACCGGCGAGGAGGCGGAGCTGAGCGGCCCCGCGAAAATCGAGTGAAGGAGATGCAGGTAAGTGTGCCGTGCTTAGGTGCTGCTGCAATCACATATGCTGGCTGCAGCAGCACCATACTGGAACAGGGGTCAGCAAGTGTCAGTGGGAGGAATAGTGCCCCATCATTGGTGTCACTGATACCAATGATGGGGCATTATTCCTCCCACTGACACCAACGATGGGGCACTTTTCCTCCCCCCCACTGACACCAACGATTGGGCACTATTCCTCCCCCCCACTGACACCAATGATGGGGCACTATTCCACCCCCACTGACACCAATCATGGAGCACTATTCCACCCCCC